CATATATTTTTTTTCTGAGTAATGACTGATCGATAGGTTACGCACCTCATCTAACAATCTACACCTGAGGTGCATCAGATGTGATCTGAGGCAAGCGTTAGTTTGAGGCACAACATATATACAGTAGTAAGGATTTAAATGGAAAGTAAAAAGTGAGTACATCACATGTGCTACACCTAGTACAGGATCACAAGAACATATAAATATCAATATTTTTTCCCAAGTCCCGTAATTTATTATCAAATATCCGTTTCGTTAAAAATATTAATGATGATTCCACGTCAATCAAGAAAAATATCCTTTTATGATGAATATGTTCAAACAATGTCAGTAGAATTTCATCGAAGGATGCTATTAATCAACTACATACTTGTATTTGTGATTTCCATGATTTTTACTGGCTTTGGTATGATACATATCTTTTATCCTTTAAACTATCAGACAAATTTACTTCACGATGAATAGCAGGACAGTTTAAGAGATAATCAATTTTAATCTTATACATAAGTAGATTATGAAGCGGATAATATATTAAATGAGCAAAATAATCTTAAAAACAATACAGATCTATATGGAAAATATGGCTACGACTCGTATGAGTTTTCTTTCTTATATTTTCTCGTCTAAATTCAATACTAATTAGTGTATTAAATATCTTATAGTAATTTGTCAAATGCTAGTGTAGCTTTTACAACATTTTATTTTTTATATTTGGCTTTGTCTTTGTGTGTGGTTCCTTGTGGCGGAAGAATGGAATGGGGTTGTGCGATATGTGCATTTATATATAATATGTAATTACAACTATTATTTAATGAAATTCAAAAAAATTTAATATCTATGTCAAACTAACTACTATCTCTTTGTCTAGATTAGGGGCTTGCATTGGTATACCACTTTCATTTCCATATTTAAAAGATCAAATTGTTGGCCCTGATCATCAAATAATTTCATGTGATCATATCGAAGGTTTGAATTCATGGTACTTTCCATAAACTTCGTATTATATTATCATGGTTAATTATATTTGTGTGGTTTATGATTTACCCAATTTATTTGTTTATCATATTAGTAATTTTAAGTAAGGGAGTTTATAGAATTTTAAAATTATGGACCACTTACCAATATCAATATATAAAGGGATTATTTTTAACTTGGTTAGAAAAACTCAAAGAAAAATCAATGCAACAAAATGATAAGAGTGTTAAGGAAGATACAATTAATGATATTAAAATAGTTACTACAGTATAGCGCGAATTACTATCTGCTATATGTTTTATAATCATGAAATTTTTTTATCCTCATTCATTCATTAAGAAAATTTTAGATAGTAATCAAAAAATAAAATATTATTATCTTGTAATTTACTATAATTTAAAAAAGTTTTCTCTGCATGTAAAAAAAAATAGTTAGCTATGGAGGAAAAAAAGATTTCATAGTTATAATAAATTTAAAAGTAATTTGCACATATGGTATCCTTCTTAGGCGAATTGCCAATTAAATATTTTAATTTATTGCTCTTTTAAAAATACACAGAATAGTTTTATTATATTTTTGTAATTTCAATCTTATCCTCTACATATTTTATAAAAGTATATAATAATTAGATATATAGTTAGTTAATCATATATTTTTTTTTATCATATCTAAGTAAGTTTAGAAATAAGTAAATGTTTATTACTACACTAGATTTAACTTCTAAGAGTTATGTTCTGTTCAAACGCCCCTAGCCAGGGTTGTGAATAGACAATAGACAAGCCAATACAGTCTAATGGTCTAATGGTGTCTAATTAAGCCATTAGACAATAGAAAATTACTACAGTATATAATTTAAACCAATCTGATTGGTTAATTTTAGATATCACTATCTTGCTAATTATATTAAAAACAATTAGTTTAAGACCAATAGACATTTATATTTTTGACTAGACTATGTCTACCCTGCCCCTAGCTGAATTGTTCATCCCTGTAATATTGGCCAATCGCAAAGTGAAGCCACTTTTTTTACAAAACAATAGCTCTAAGGAAATCACCTTCTGCGGCCTAATTAAAAATGTCCCTCGTGAAATTTTACCAATAGTTCCAACCCTAATCCTACGTTGTCCTTACCCTAACCCTAACTATAACGCGGTTTAGTTTTACACGCAACTTTTTACTTAAAACGCGAAGCATACCAAAATCGCATAATAGTAAATAGCGCCTGTGATTGGTCGATTGTTAACCAATCGATCAGTTTTTTTTTATAAAAAATTTTGACGCAAATTTCAGAATTTTTTTTTATATATACCGTTCCGACATATTCGAGTAGAAAATTAAACAGCGTAAATTATGCAAAGTTCTGAAAGAAATTGAGTTATCACGTGGTTAATGGCACGAAAAAAATCGCATAATTTGCATAATTCTGGGAACGTAAAGCATTAGCTGCATAATTTGGTCCAATCGCATCGTATAATTTATCACATAATGCTGAGGTCCCTAGGAGGATTGTAATTCAGAACCCAGTCCTGGCAGGACCGGATTCGCAATTTAACATCCTTAGATATGCGATTCTTTAATATAGAAGTTATATGTTATGTTGATGACATTGAAACTTTAATTTTTTGGTATATAAAAATAAAAATTTACATTTCATGTTACTTTTTTTTTTACCATAAGTTTAAGTGGAATGAATCTTTCTAAAGATGTTGTTAAGGTCTAACACTTGTCATCATATAAAAGATTTATATTTTCAAACGTTATTTAATGCTAAAAATTAATTTCTCCTGATCTTATTACATGATCAACAAAAACTTATATTAAATGTTAAATCGTAAATAAAAGAAATTAATTTATACAATTCAATTATCAAACGGAACTTCTACACTTTCTATCGGCTCGCTAACCAAGTTCATCTCCGCCATTCTTCTTGCGATCTCTCTTGAGTTAATCGCTTTGCTTGTGTACATATGGTAAGGATTTTTCGAAGGTTCGATCTTCGGTATATACTTATCAGTTTCATTAAATTTCTCCATGATTATTGGATCAGAAAGCCATCGTTTAATTTCATCATAGAGATATCGTGCCGTTGGCCTTTTATCAGGATCAATATTCATACATTGATTCGCTAATTTCACATAACATTCAGGAACAGTCGATAGAAACTCAAGTTTTAAACAACCACTACAAATTCGAATAGCAAGTTCATTGTCAAATTTAAAACCATCATAAGGTCTTTATCCTTCAGCTAACTCCCACATAATTATACCAAACTCATAAATGTCTGCTGCCCATGTAAATTTTTTATTTTGCAAAACTTCGGGTGCTACGTACGGCATAACTCCATAAACATAACCAACTTCTTCATCCCATTCTCTTGACAATCCCAAGTCAGAAATATAGGAAAATATACTACCATTTAAATCATTTTGTAAAACATTACCACTGTGTAAATCAGCATGAATTAGTCCTCTCATATGAATATTATATAAAGCAAACAAAATATGCTCAAGTATCTTTAACTTTTTATTCCATATTAAATCTTTAAAATTTTTTCTCAAATACTTTGCAAGATCTCCTTCTGATGCATATCTAAATACCATCATATATTCATTAGTTTCTGTATTTTGAGTTATTCCATATACTTTAAGCATTATAAATTCATTACAATTTACATGATTTGTAAACTCTTTTACTGATACTGTTTTGAGTGCAACAAATTTATCATATCTACCACTGGTATATATTTCATCTATACATATCGCTCTATACACTGTACTGAAACCTCCTTTCCCAATCTTTTCAATATCTTTAAATCTATCAAAACTAAACCATTCTAATATATCTACTTTATCCGGTGGTAACCCCATTATTATACTATATTGTA